TTATTTAAATATTATTATTATTTTATTAATATCAGGTCAATTATAATTAAACTATAAACTTTGAATTAATGTTTTGACCAATTCAATAATCAGTTTGATTTTAAAAGTATTAGTCGAAGATGTACAACTTACTTTTCAAATAGATTTTTTCTTAAAAAAAACAGGTAAAAGTGAGAAAGTTAATCTTTTCCAAACATACTCTAAAGGCATATGGAGATCTTAAATCACTATACTAAGTTAATTAATAAATAGACACATTTTGTGGTGTCCAAACTAAACCAAAGACACATTTTTGTGCCTAAAATAGTGTCCAAATCTAAGCCATAAGCACAATTACCTGCCTACGGTGATGCCAACATTAAATAAAACCAAAATTTTTATAGTGATAAAGAGGGCAGCAGTTGAAAACAAAGAGGAGAGGCTGAAGGTTGACACGAGATCGAAAGTAATGAAGATTAGGGCTCTAGGTACAATATTATAAAGGAGTTTTCTATGTAAGTTGCGCAAATAATCAACATAAAGCTAGCTTATTTTATTTTATTAATTTGAGATGATTAAAAAAATTATGATGAATCATCTATTTCATTAGAAGCACGTGAGGGTAAATGAATAATTATTTGTTTAATAATATATTCTCGTGTACCATGCTTAACATATAATACTGCAAACCCATGGTATCTTGTTGTTTTTTTTTTAATAATTTTTAAGATAAAATTTAGTCATATTATATTAATTTAAGATTTCTCTACTCTAAATATAAAATTGTTAATATATATTGTTATTATTTATTAAAATTGAAACTTAAATATTTTTTTAGACTTTTACATGCACTTGAAAAAAATAAAATATATAAAATGATTTTTTTAATTTTAATTTTACAAAATTATGATTTTATATTTATGTAATATTATTTTATGTAGTATTTAAATATAACATAAAAAAATATTGAAAAATAATTATAAGTTTCAAATTTTTAACTTCTTAAAAACAACTTATTTTAAAAAAAAAAAAGTTGTTTAAAATAATAAGTACAGCAGACTTTGTTGTCAGAACTTGAAAAAACTGACTGATTTGATCGGTTGAACCGAAAAATGGTCAACCTACCAATTTAGAAGACTCATAAATTTGATGTATAAAAGAACCTATCAAAAATTGGATGAATTGACTTGAAATAAGTAAAAATTGCTCTAAAAAATTAGATTGAACTGGTTTTTTTTTTAAAAAATGTTTTTATTTTGTAAAATTTCTTAAAATATTTTTATAATTAATAAATAAATATATTTAATAAAAATTTTAAATTAGAATAAATTATCTATTTTTATTTTTAATAATTTTCTTATATTGATACAATTTAGTTATTTATATTAATTTATAATTTCTATATCATGATATTTTATATTTTATATTATATTAATTTAAGATTTTCTACTCTAAATATAAAATTGTTAATATATATTGTTATATTTTATTAAAACTTAAAATTAAATATTATATTTAAACTTTTACATGCACTAGAAAAAATAAAAATATATAAAATGATGTTTATTTTAATTTTAATTTTATAAAATTATGATATTATATTTATGTATTATTTAAATATTATTATTATTTTATTAATATCAGGTCAATTATAATTAAACTATAAACTTTGAATTAATGTTTTGACCAATTCAATAATCAGTTTGATTTTAAAAGTATTAGTCGAAGATGTACAACTTACTTTTCAAATAGATTTTTTCTTAAAAAAAACAGGTAAAAGTGAGAAAGTTAATCTTTTCCAAACATACTCTAAAGGCATATGGAGATCTTAAATCACTATACTAAGTTAATTAATAAATAGACACATTTTGTGGTGTCCAAACTAAACCAAAGACACATTTTTGTGCCTAAAATAGTGTCCAAATCTAAGCCATAAGCACAATTACCTGCCTACGGTGATGCCAACATTAAATAAAACCAAAATTTTTATAGTGATAAAGAGGGCAGCAGTTGAAAACAAAGAGGAGAGGCTGAAGGTTGACACGAGATCGAAAGTAATGAAGATTAGGGCTCTAGGTACAATATTATAAAGGAGTTTTCTATGTAAGTTGCGCAAATAATCAACATAAAGCTAGCTTATTTTATTTTATTAATTTGAGATGATTAAAAAAATTATGATGAATCATCTATTTCATTAGAAGCACGTGAGGGTAAATGAATAATTATTTGTTTAATAATATATTCTCGTGTACCATGCTTAACATATAATACTGCAAACCCATGGTATCTTGTTGAACTTTAATAGAAATTATATATGCGGATTAGGATGGAAAATATAAAAGAAAAAAATCAAACAGAAATAGCGTGAATTGAAAGATACATATGATCATTGACGATGACGACGACTAATATGTACCTGGATAGTTTAATGACGAGCTGCAATATTGCTAAGGTGTTCTTCCAAGATGTCGATGAAACAACTATTCATTCGAGTCCTCTGAAAGTGCCACTCCAAGCTGAATTCCTCCTTCTTCATCCCTACTTTCAGTAAGAGAAACTGTTCCCACAAAATCAAGATTAACCACTTCACACTTTATGGGCTTTCCCCACCCAAACTCAGTGTTGTACACGCTTAGTTTCGGCGATCCCATAATCGCTACAAACCAAAGCATCACTTTTGAAATCTCTAATCTTCTTTTCAATGGCATTCGCCGCCGCAACATTAATCCCGTTTTGTCCCACCAATTTACCCCTCTTCACGGTAGTAATAAGAGGGATCAAACAGTTTCCAAAGTAGTTTGAAGGCAACAAAAAGGATGATAATGAATCTACTAAGGGTTTAATATGTTGCCATATGTCAGTTGCTTACCATACGATCTGTGCTTCTTGACAACCAAAGAAAATGTGCCAGTTGCTTTCTTGTGCAGCTTCACAGTGGGGACAAAGGGAGGTACAAGGGACTCCCTTTTGCTGAAGGCATTGGCGTGAAGGAAGACAGTCTCTAAGAAGACTCCAAAGGAAGATTTTCATGTTATGTGGAATAGGTAGAGCCCATAACTTTTTCCAATCACCAGGGAGCCTTGAGATAGAGTTGCATAACAGGGACTCCATAATAAGATAATAAGCAGATTTAACAGAGTACGAGCCTTTCCTGTTGAGATTCCACGTGAGTGTATCTGCTTCGTCAAGCTGGAGGAGTGGGATATCTTTTATTGCATCAACGTCACGTTGGTTGAAAATCCTGTTAATAAGATCAAACTTCCAGGTGCCATTCTCAAAGTCAATTAGGTTAGCTATCCTGGTCTCCTCATACCCTGCTGGAGGCAAAGATGTCACATAGGGCTTACCTTGTTGACGCATCCAGGGATCAATCCATGGTTTGATGCGAAGACCATTACCAATACACCATCGCATGTTACCACTACCTGTGAAGCGTGGATGCTACGCCATGTGAAACTCGGGTTGTGGCCAAGATTGGCCCCCAGAAAGTCCCCTCGCGGGGAGTATTTAGCTTTGAATACACGAGTAACTATAGCATCTTGGTTGGTCAAGAATTTCCAACCTTGCTTCCCTAGCATGGCTAAGTTGAAGCCATAGAGGTTGCGAAAGCCCATTCCTCCGTGTTCTTTCCTTATGGATAATTTTTCCCAGCTAAGCCAATGGATGCCTTTCCTAGAGTGTCTGTTTGAGCCCCACCAGAAAGAGTTTAACATGCGTTGAATCTCATCGCCAAATGATGAAGGAATGAGGAAGACACTCATATAGTAGGATGGAATGGATTGAGCTACTGATTTTAGGAGTGTTTCTCTTCCTGCTTTAGATAAGTGCTTACCAGACCAATGCTGGATTTTCCTCCATATGCGGTCCTTGATGTTGTTAAACAGTGCCTTTTTCTTCCTACCAATCATTGAAGGCAGTCCCAAGTACTTGCCGGTGCCCATGCATTCTGAAACACCTAGGATGGTAGTGATTGATGTTTTAGCAGCAGGTGTTGTGTTACTGCTGTAAAATATTTCTGACTTTTGCATATTAATGGCTTGACCAGAAGCTTTCTCATACTGGTTGAGCATGTTCTTAAGTGTGGCACATTCTTTATCAGTAGCCCTGCAAAAGAGAAAACAATCATCTGCAAATAAGAGGTGGGTGAGTTATGGGGCACCTCTACAAATTTTGATACCATGAATGTCTCCTCTTGCTTCAGCTTGTTGTAGTAATGAAGAGAGACCTTCAGCATATATGATGAATAGATAAGGTGATAGTGGGTCGCCTTGGCGGAGGCCCCTTCCTGGAGTAATAGGTCCTACCTCCTCTCCATTCATAAGGACTTGGAATTTGACCGATTCCATGCATAGTTTCAGCCAGCTAACCCATTTATGATGAAAACCAAGCTTCAATAGCAGGTTGTGTAGGTAGGACCAGTCTACATGATCAAACGCCTTGCTAATATCAATCTTGAGAGAAACTTCCCCTGTTTTGCCATTTTTCTTGCATTTCATGTGGTGAATGAGTTCTATGGCTACCAGAACATTGTCAAGTATTGAGCGGTTCTCCACAAAGGCAGATTGTTCTAGAGAGATGCATTGGTTGAGTAATGGCTTCATGCGGTTCACTAGAACCTTAGATAGGATTTTATAAATCACATTGCATAGTGATATGGGGCGAAGATCTTTCATGGAAGTTGGATTTGCTATTTTAGGAATAAGCACCACATTCGTGTTGTTTAGTTGAGGAGGAAACTCTTCTTGTTCAAGCCAATGAGTGCCAGCAGCAAAGACTTCTAGGCCAAAGAGGTCCCAAAACCGCTTGTAAAAACCTGGATTAAGGCCATTCGGTCCTGGTGATTTGTCAGAGTGCATGGAGAAAAGGGCTGTCTTGAATTCACTGATGCAGAAGGGTTAAAGGAGAGAGTCATTGTCTGCTGCTGTGATTTTGGGGGAGATATGATCAATGACTTGGGCAATGTCACTTTGTTGGGCTTCAAATAGGTCAGTAAAGTAATCTTGAGCAACCTGACAAAGGTCCTATTGGGCTATAACTATCGTGCCATCAAGTTTGGTGAGGCGTTGGATCAAGTTCTTCTTCTTTCTTTCACTAGCCATGGCGTGGAAGAATTTAGTATTTTTGTCTCCATTTTTAAGCCAATACACCTTGGCTCTTTGTTTCCAGAAAGTTTCTTCCCTTGCGAGCAGTGTTGATAAGCGCTCTTGAGCCTCCAAAAATGCTGACACAAAATTGGCATCATGCTTTTCACGTAACTCCAGGAGTTGGCGTCGGCAAGCGTCAATAGGAGCACGAAACCTCAAGCGAAGCTGGCGACCCCATTCATCCATGTCTTTGGAACAGGATTTTAGCCTATCAAGAATGTCTGGGAAGTGCCCACGATGCCAACTCGCTTCAACCAGTGGGGATAGACCAGGTTCATCTAGCCATGCGTTCTCAAACCTAAAAGACTGACGAGTACGTAATGTGGTTTGCATGGATAGTTTTAAGAGAATAGGAGAATGATCTGACCTGGCAGCCACTGCGTTGATAAGTCTACTATCTGGAAATTGATTAAGCCAGCTTTGAGTGGCCATAGCTCTATCCAATCGTTCCTCCACTTGTGTTGGTGAACCACGGCTCTTAGTCCACGTAAAATTGTAACCTTCAAGAGGTATATCCACTAGTTCAGAGTCCATCACAGCTTCACGGAACCCCCGCAGTAACCATGTTGGGTGCTCTATCAAACCCCTTTTATCTTGGTTAGATAAGATGTCATTAAAGTCTCCAATGACACACCATGGAAGTGAATTGTCTTGCGCAAGGTAGCGCAATAGGTCCCAAGAATCCTTCCTACGGTTTCTTTCTGGATAACCATAGAAGCCTGTGAGTCGCCATGTTGGCTTCTTAGGATGAGTGACAGAAACGTTGATGAAGTGGGGAAAGTAATTAATTAAGTGACAAGAATATGGTTGCTTCCAGAGAAGTGCAAGGCCACCACTACGTCCGGAGCTATCTACAGCAAAAGAAGAGTCAAAGTTAAGAGCCACACGTATGTCTTCTAAACGTCGTGCATGTACCTTCGTTTCACAAAGGAAGATCACATCCGGGTGGTATGTCCGAATAAGATCTTTAAGGGTAGGAACTGCACACGGGTTGCCTAAGCCCTGACAGTTCCAACTTATGAAACTCATGAGCCCTGGCAGGCCTGGTTTCCAGGGCCTGCCCATAAAAAATGATCAGCATCTTCGGTGTCCATGATTGATGTAGTAGTGTGTTCATCTGCGATTTCAGCGTCGTCGTGGTAGCGACGTTTTCTATCAAGTATAGTAAGGTCATCATTAGCCGCAACAGAATTTTGGTTTGCACGGGTTGAATTGATGGGCTCCTTAGTGATATCAGCAGTTGTGGTTTGTTGTGCATGGGAATTACTGGTAGCGTTGGAGGTGTGGGCCCTGGCAGCCATAATAGCTGGATTCTTAAAAATCTCTATCATTAAATCGTTTCTTTTTTTGTTGTCATGATTATCGGGATAGGTAGGATTCCCGCTTTGGGTGTTGGAAGTAATAGATTGGCCAATCCCATAATATCTGCTAGATCCCGGATTTTGTGGAGAATTCAAACCAGAATCCTCATCACGTAACCAATGCGATCTTGGAGTGGCTGTGCGAGGGTTAGCCCGGAGCTCCGGTCCCCAGCCACGTTGTCCATCGTGTTCAGATGCGTTGAATAGGAGTTCACAACTATCCTCCATATGGCCTAATAGACCACATACAAAACAAAAGGGGCCTAATTTCTCATATTTGAATAAGACCACCGTAGCCTCGCCTCCCGGTTTTTTTATACGTTTTGATTTCTTTAAAGGCTTTCTGACATCAATGAGAACTCGTACACACATATATGACCTCCAAAACGTAGTCGTGTTTCGTGAGTCAAACTCCAAGAATTCACCGATGTGATTGGCTATATTTTGACCCACAGAGGAGGAGTTGAAACCGGGTGGAAGTTGATGAATTTGCACCCAGAAAGGTACAGTGTAAAGCGGTATTTGATTTGGAACTTCTCCGTCTTTGATGATGCCCAGTATGAGTAGATGACGATCAAATGACCAAGGGCCTATGCGTTGCATGTCCAGTGGGTGGTAAAATTGGAAGAGAAAGAGACCAGAGTCTATTTCACGTATAGAAACACCTTTACGTGGGTGCCAAACTTCTGCCATGCGTTCCTTCATCATCTGAGTATACGTATCTGGCGTTCAGTGAGGAACCTTCCTACCAAGCATAAAGTCAGATCTGTCTCAGGTCCAACAATGGTGTCTTCGGTTATGATAAGGTCTTTGTCATCCTCTATCACCATAGCATTGAGGTTGAGTGGTTCCATACCTGGGAGTGGGGAAACAACGTAACAACGAGTTCACGATGCGGACGACGTGCGGCAACTAACGTCTCATAGAGAGAGAGGGCATCTCACAGAGAGAGAAAAAAATTATTTGCAATCCTAATTCTTTTATATATATATATATATATAATTTCTTATCTAATTTGAGTCTTCATAGTTTTGATTTGATATTTTTTAGAGGTTAAGACCTAATACCAACATGTCATCCATAAACAATGACAAAATGATGAGATCATTATCATCAAGCTTATTATATAGTATGTATATAAGATGATCTAAACTCAATATGTTATAATATTAAGGTTAATGGTGAAGAAATCAAATCTCTCATACCAATATCTTAGCATTTACTTTAGATTGTATAAAGATTTGGCCAACCTTCAAACCAAGTTTACATTTTCTTATTCTTTAAAACCTTTTAGTTGGAGCATGTAAATTATATCTACAATGACATTTTTTTATATGTCATTATATGTAATAATTTTTATAATACATTGAATTTGTTTGTTTATTGTACTTTGTGATCTCGTTAGATATATTTTCTTTTTTATCTACATTATAGTTTTGTATTCGGTGTTTTCATTTACATTATGCAATTCATTTTTTTTGCAAAAGCTTGCATCTCTAAAAATAACCTTACATTTTCTTTTTACATATGTACAACCAATAAAAATCAAAGCAATAATTATATTAACGATGAAAGAAATTGAAAGAATAATAAGTTAATAAAAATATTTTAAAGAAACTAAAATATATCTCATTTAGTGTTTTAAAAATTTGACCATATGAATTGGCATATTATTTTAAAAAGTGCATAAATCAATTCTAGATGTAACCGCCAATTTATTGGTATGTAAAAAAAAATGTTAGTTTACATTTGACAGATAATATATCTAATCAAATTAAGAGACTTAAATCAATTAAACTATTAGTTCTCGATCTAAGTTGATTTTTGAAATAATGGTCTTTTTATAACTTTTCTTCATTGGATTGACTAATTTTAGAAGTAAAATAATACCTTCAATTATGATTTTATATTCAAGAATGGAATTAAACCTTGATTTAGTTAAAAAATTTAAGTGTCAAACCATTTGTATTAATATCATTTGATTTTTAAATACTAGAATCATTAATATTAGGGATTATTTTAAAAAAATTGTATAAATTTTAGTTAAATTTAATGCTACTAACTAATTAACTATTTTTCTTAAATCTTGGTGAATTAGTTAATTAAGTCTTATAAAAAATTAAAATATATATAAGATATTTGAAATTTATTTACATACCATGAACTTTTAAATGTGTTAACATTTAAGTTTAAACACAAATAAACAACTAATACGAGAGGTATGTTGTAATTAAAATATTAATATGGTGTGACAATTGACAAATAATCATGTTACTTAAGAGAGTCTAATTCTTATGCTCACATGTACAAAATTGAAAGAAAAAAAAATAGTTCCTTAAATGAATCTTATAGTGTATTAAAATATTAGTCTCTTCCCTTCGACGAGGGATATATTCTTGGATTAAACCAAAATGTTATAATAAACTACGTTTATGAAATCTAACTTACCTAATAATATTGATCATATCAGAAAACATTAAAATTCATCCACTTGAAATCATACGACATAAATTACCAAGTTACTAAACACGAACCTAATTAAATATCCTTATTGCAGTCAAGGAAGTTAACATCAACCATGATGACTTATTGACACAAATTTACCATTTGGACAGAGCTATGCTTAATTTCAATTTAAAGATCACACAAAGAGATTTAGGATTTGGAAGCTTTAAGTTCTTGTTCGATGACAGAAACGAAATATTCAAATTCGGTACTTCTACACACAAAGCCAACCTCAAGTCCTCCTTCCTCATCTCCACTTTCAGTTAGAGACATGCACTTAAAGGGATGCACCATTTCCACTTTGTTAGGCCTTCCAAATCCAAAATCAGTCTCATAAACAGTGAAGTTGGGTGACCCTGTAACTAGCAATGTACTTCCCAACACAAACATCTTCTTAAACGACGCCCTCCAGTTTTCTGCATCTTTAAAGGGTTCACTTCTCATATCAGTCAATGCCTTTTCAATGGCCTTGACCGCATTCACAAAACCACTCTCTCCCTTGAGATCCTTTCTCTTTAGCATTGCATAACATAACGTTAAGCAGTTTCCAAAATATGTTTTTGGCACAGGATACTCAAGGCGATCTCTGCAATCTGCAGCAAAACGAAAATACTCCTCTTTCTCCTTTTCTTCTTCATCATTTCTGCATCTTGTTCTAACCGAACAAGCCCACACAAAAGCACACGTCACCACAAATTTTGATACATATTGTGGCACGTTGAATTCCTCACTTTCCTTCCACTGGTCCAACACCCATCTTTTCAGCCTCTCGATGTCATCTCTTCTAAAAACAATCGTTGCCTTAACAAAGTCCTCATCAGCATCACCACCGGAACTTTTATAAGTTTGACCAATGAGTTTTTCCTTCCAAGTTGACCTCTCTTCAAAATAGTCTCTTAAGAAAATGGCCTCGAGTCCATTGGGGTCCTTCAACACTCCCCTAGCAAAGCACGGTGGAGACTTCTCCACAAGTGTCAAGTCAACGCCACCGCTTCGACAAATGGAAGACCAACACTTCATGAAATGACTGCAACACTTACCATCCATCACATGACAATATGTGATGGCGATGCAAAGGCCATGGTTGGGGAAAACTGTGACTTGCAATGCCACTAAAGGGAAAGTGAACGTGTCATCATCATGCACGTTTGTGAATGTCAACGTAGGAACCAAGTGATCCAAGTCTTTGAGACTTTTGGGGTGGTTGGATGAGAGAAGTTGGAAATCAGCTTGGGACTCAATGATGGTGAAGGTGACAGAGTCATGATCGGTGCAGCGAATGAAGGGTTTGTGGGGTGGTGGTGGACAGAGGAGATTTCCAGCGAGAGGGAAAAAATGTTGAAGGGTAAGAGAGAGAGAGTGTTTGAGAGTGGGGAGTGTGGTTTCACAGAAATGTTGTGTGGAATGGGAAAAATGATAGAAAAATTGGCGTTTGACGTAAATAGGACCGGCTAAGGGCAAGTCAAGGAAAGAGAGGGGAAGCGACGAGGTTGTTGCTGATGATGCTGAAGCAACCTGAGATTTCTCAACAAGCTTGTGTGCTCTTCGCACTTCCATTTGTTTGACGATATTTGAGAATTCTGAAGGAAAGCTATTGCAGAGATGCATTCGTACCTGTATGTACTGCATATTTATAGAAAAATAACATTTTTTTTAAGAAAGAATCAACAGATTTAAAATTATAGAGTACGCAAAATAGATAAACATGGTTTAACTTTTTATTAGAAAATATGGTCATATTATTTTGAATAAGACAGAAAGAAAATTTTGTCCCACATTTATCAATTGCAAGCATACTTCAGAGATGTAAGTATATATTAATTATATGAACTTAATTGGAAAGCACTCTATCATGTAGTCATAAATTAAAATAATCAACTTTCCATAATATATAATTATTTAAAAGATTATATTTTTAAATATTAACAATCCAAGAAAACGATGAATTCAAATAATTTCAAACCAAAAATTTCAGATTAGCTTAATTCATTGGTTTGAATCGGATTGAAAAAAATGTAAAGAGTTGGATTATAGATTTTTTATATTAAAACCTAATTAATCCGATCTCTTCTAAAAACAATCGTTGCCTTAACAAAGTCCTCATCAGCATCACCACCGGAACTTTTATAAGTTTGACCAATGAGTTTTTCCTTCCAAGTTGACCTCTCTTCAAAATAGTCTCTTAAGAAAATGGCCTCGAGTCCATTGGGGTCCTTCAACACTCCCCTAGCAAAGCACGGTGGAGACTTCTCCACAAGTGTCAAGTCAACGCCACCGCTTCGACAAATGGAAGACCAACACTTCATGAAATGACTGCAACACTTACCATCCATCACATGACAATATGTGATGGCGATGCAAAGGCCATGGTTGGGGAAAACTGTGACTTGCAATGCCACTAAAGGGAAAGTGAACGTGTCATCATCATGCACGTTTGTGAATGTCAACGTAGGAACCAAGTGATCCAAGTCTTTGAGACTTTTGGGGTGGTTGGATGAGAGAAGTTGGAAATCAGCTTGGGACTCAATGATGGTGAAGGTGACAGAGTCATGATCGGTGCAGCGAATGAAGGGTTTGTGGGGTGGTGGTGGACAGAGGAGATTTCCAGCGAGAGGGAAAAAATGTTGAAGGGTAAGAGAGAGAGAGTGTTTGAGAGTGGGGAGTGTGGTTTCACAGAAATGTTGTGTGGAATGGGAAAAATGATAGAAAAATTGGCGTTTGACGTAAATAGGACCGGCTAAGGGCAAGTCAAGGAAAGAGAGGGGAAGCGACGAGGTTGTTGCTGATGATGCTGAAGCAACCTGAGATTTCTCAACAAGCTTGTGTGCTCTTCGCACTTCCATTTGTTTGACGATATTTGAGAATTCTGAAGGAAAGCTATTGCAGAGATGCATTCGTACCTGTATGTACTGCATATTTATAGAAAAATAACATTTTTTTTAAGAAAGAATCAACAGATTTAAAATTATAGAGTACGCAAAATAGATAAACATGGTTTAACTTTTTATTAGAAAATATGGTCATATTATTTTGAATAAGACAGAAAGAAAATTTTGTCCCACATTTATCAATTGCAAGCATACTTCAGAGATGTAAGTATATATTAATTATATGAACTTAATTGGAAAGCACTCTATCATGTAGTCATAAATTAAAATAATCAACTTTCCATAATATATAATTATTTAAAAGATTATATTTTTAAATATTAACAATCCAAGAAAACGATGAATTCAAATAATTTCAAACCAAAAATTTCAGATTAGCTTAATTCATTGGTTTGAATCGGATTGAAAAAAATGTAAAGAGTTGGATTATAGATTTTTTATATTAAAACCTAATTAATCCGATCTAATTGATAATTTTTATATATTATTATTTTATATTTTATATTTTTATAAAAAAATTAGTTTATCAATAAACAAATTTATTGTTTGAACTAAAAAGTCAACTAAATTTTTCATTCATTTTTAACATTATAATATTTCAATCAACATAATAGTCTATAAAATTTTATAGTTATATATTTTTATTTCTCTTCAATTTGTTAGATTTAGAGTTTAAATATAAGTATGTTAAGACTACTCGTATTGTTGATGAGAATGAATATAACATTATTTTTTATTTTTTAACTTATAACTTTTTAAAATATTTTTTATTATAAATTTAATTATCTAATTCAAATCAATCTAATTATAGTTGGATTAATTTAGTTTGGAATGTAATTATTTTTTGAGAAATTCAATTAACTGATTTAGTTAAATTTAATCAGATAAGGTAAGGGAAAAAATAACATAAATCCAATCCAAAATCTTCTGTGCCACCCGCTAATAAATATAATAAAAAAGTATCAAAATAGATTCATTCTGTACCTTTTCTTTACGTGGTTGAAGGATTCAAAGTTGAAATAATAGTTGCCAGAACGTATATGACACGCTTATGTGACAAACAATTCTGATGAAATTTGTGTTACATTGTATTTGTATTTGACTTAATAATTATCTAAAAATCATATTAATTAGTTAATAGCGTGATTTTTTTACAGTAGTAATATATGCAAGTTATTTATTTATTTTTTTAAAGTTACTTAATTCTCACCGCTCAAGTTTTAAGTATTTTTTCGACGGACTCAATCATAAAATAAAATTACATTTTTTAACTTATAAAATCGAGACATAAAAATGAAATTTTTCTTGCACTTTACAATCTAAATCTTAATGTATTATAAGGGAGGTTATAAATAAATCGCTATCAATTTACAATAATCAAGAGTTTTGGCCTTTTCATTTCATTACAAATTGAAATGTATAATAATATTGTATTTTTTTAATAATCACCTTAAAAAAAAAAATTTATTAATTGATATATAAAAAATTTCTACCCAAAGTACATAGAAAGAAATTTCAATATCTATATGCAAGAACCTGTTGTATTCAACCGTTGATTCCTTCAAATGTTATATAAATGGTTATTGTCATTGTTATAAACTTACGTATCCAAGTAAGGCAAGTTTATCATATTGTCCACTAATATACAAGTGAATAATAATTATTTATTTTTATTTTTTATTTAAACTATTTAAAATTATTAATTTTTTTTTTTTTGAAAACTATTTAGACTTCACTCTATAGTAGTAGTCATAGCTTGTTCTTCATTCCAATAGTAATACATTCGTCACAGACACTAAGGGTGTGCAAAAAATCCAAATTGATCTGAACTGATCCATAACCGATCCGATCCATATTGAAAAATCCGATCCATTTTGAAAAAAAATCCAAACCGAACCACTTTATAAAACCGGTTCAGTTATCCGATCCATTTTTACAAAGTGGATCAGTTCGGTTCGGTTTGGTTTTCTAAAAAAAACGATCCATATATGAGTAAAAAAGTGGATAACTGCACCGCACCGAACCGATCCAATTTAAAAAAAACGATCTATATTTTAAAAAAACCAAACCGATCCACTTTATAAAAAATAGATCGGTTAACCGATCCACTTTTATAAAACGGTTCGATTTGGTTTGGATCGATCCATGAACACCCCTAACAGACACACTTGTCAAGGATGACCACCTACTAGTCACAACGAAACCTAGCGTAGGTGGGGTGGAGCCGCACTCATAGGCGTCATAAATGACAAGGTGGTGATGGTTGTTGACTACAGCGAACTTGTCACAAACGTCACAAACAATGAGGTGGTGCGGTGGCTGCCAACGTCGATAGGCTTGGTGCAAGTGACATATATATATGGAACCGAGTCGTGAGGGAATGTAGTGAGCCCTCCTTACAACAATGTGAGGTTCTCATGATAGGCATGGACAATTTTTGACAATGAAGTCCAATAGGATTTCAACAAAGAAAGAGGAAGATAAAGATATCTCGTTCATGCAACTCCCTTATCGCAGTCAATGTCCACTATTGTCACCAAAGTCAACACGCACTCACCAGGAAGAAGTTTTAGGGGTTTGGAGTTTGCTTTCTCCTTTTTTGTTGTGCACCTTCTCCTTTATTGTCCCAAACCCAAACCCTATCTCCTTCAACTTAGTGTCCATCATGAAGACATCATTGTCCAAGATGGAGACGCATTATAGGCAAGGCCGTAGAGTTCCTTGTAGGTGACGACGACCTCATCATCAGTCTTGAGGGGTCTATTGTCGAAGGAGGGAGGGAGGACAAAACCTTCAAGGACTAAAGGCGATGTCACTATTGGGATTGACGGAGTCAAAAAAGGAAATTGAAGGTTGACGAAGTCAAAGAAAGAAGTTGAGATTAACAAATGATAGTAGAGATGTCAATGAAGGAGGTTAGGGTTGCCGATGAAGGTGATGATGATGATTTTTTTGGATAAAATAATCATATTTACCATAAAAAATAAAATTAATACATTAATAAAATTTTTATCATTAAATAAATCTAAATCTTTCAATTTAATTATTTATATATCTAACAATATTTTTTATTCCTCTATCAATAAATCATATAAAAATTAAATACATTATTTTATTAGTCCAATGAATCATATATGATATATGGGTGTATCATATATTTCGCCCCCTAAACAATATATTATTTTTTCCAAAACATTGGAATTGTAGTTTTGACAACGCTTTCTAATGAAATTTTAAGCTCGTGGAGTCCTAGACATGACTTTAAATATGGCGTGTTAGACTGTGGACAATACCTCAAAACAGCTTACTACATTGCATCAGAAATTTTTTTATCAAAGTATAGCAGAAGTTATAACATCAAATTTGTCTTATAGACAAAACAGTTCCGTGCAGTGTTGCAAAAATTACCTTGGACGCAACAATTGAACATCAAAAAGTCATTTCTCATTCTCATTTCATTGGTGCAGAAGGTTCTCAATACGTCAATTTCAACAAAGAGCACGACATGTACTGATGTACATATGTCCAATTAATGATGAATTTGTGAAGATCTTCATTGTTCGGAAAAGGTTTAGCAAGATCCATAATTAGTATTCACAAGAAATGTAATTAAATATTATTAAATTTTATAAATTAGAAAATTTTAAATACATTATGAGCATAAAATCATAAATACATGGTCTCCCTTCTTTATTTGATTTCCTAGAAGGAATTGATAATTTTGCTTGGCTGTTTTCTCCTTCTTTTTATTATTCTTTTTCTGATGGTTTTCTTTTCATTTGACCACTTCGTTCTCAAACACAACGTGCAAGCACCTTTGTCTTCATTATTACCAAAAACATATGCACAGATTTTGACATTTAAAGTTAAATGATAGAATGATGACATATTTTCTTTAATACAAGTTATACGCAAGGGGTGGGAAGATGTTATGAAATTTCTGGAAGACGTGACTCAGTCCAAGTCATCTTATTTGTATGCTAGTGTTAGGTTCTCTTTCAAAAGTTTCTTCCTCTCTTTCATTTTTCTCAAAATATTATTAAAAATATTAGTTTTTAATTATATTATCATTTATTAATTATTCTGATTTAAATATATTTCTGCTCTACGTAATATATTTATTTTATGGTTTAAATCCCAATAATATTTTTATTGATTGTAATTCTTATGAAATATTGTTTCATACTTTTAACTCATGTTGCCGTTCATTAAAGACATAGCAATCATCATTAATTTATAATTTAGTTTGACTAATTTATAAACTAGTTTGAGTAAAATTTATTTGATATGTAATAGATTAATTGAAGTAATTTATAATTTATAAACTCTTAATTTTTTTATTCTCATTAATTTATTTAAAGTTTTTTTTATTCTTTTTAAATTTACAATCATTTTACTTGCATGATATTTTATAATTTTTATTATAAATAAATAAATGTCATTTTGTATTTGATCAGTTAGTTTATAAACTAATTTTATTAAATATTTTAAATTTAATTAGTTATTTTATAAATTTCTAGTTTTTCAACTTATAACATAAATTTTCAACTAATTTATAAGTTTCCAATCATATTATAAATTGATTTTATCAAACACACTCTAAATAATAGGAACTAAATTGAATATCTTCTAAATGAAAAAATATCTATATCAAAAGTTTAAAATTTATAAAGACTAAAAAATAACATCAAAGACTAAAATTTCTGTCATAAAGCAAAATTTTTATTGGGATTAGAAACTTAATTATGTAAAGAAAAAAAGAAGATAATTTTGTTATACAGAAATTAAAATCATAAAATAATTAATTTTTGTACAGGTATAAAAAGATATTTTTGCTCAATTATCTTAAAATCGATATAAAAAATTATTTTAAAATTAACGTAAAAATGATTTTTCTACGTCAGTTAATTTTAGCCGCTGTCATAAAAACGAGCAAATTCTACATCGTATATAACCTTCACTAACACAGAATTTTGCCATTTCTATGTCGAGCAAAAT